CCCATCTTCTGATCTCCCTGGGTTTGGCAGCCAGAGCCCTCCTCGTGGACAGCTCCTCACTAAACCCTAGCGATGTTTATTGATTCCTAATTTCCATCCCCAGTGGTAGCCAAAGAGCTTTGTCCAGCGCTCAGGTTAAAGCAAACCTCGGCACGAATCCATCAGATGGAACAGGGCTTCTTGTGTCTTTTGTACCACGCTCAGGAATTAACTCATCCTCTGAGTCAACACATGTGTGTCTGTGCGGATTATCGTTCCTGCAGATAACTGTGCAACCATGGTTACAGCCTTTTAGGTGCTGGGATATTTGGGGCAGGCTGTAATTTTGGCTCAGTACTTCGAAAGATGAAGGGGAGTCTGCTAGAAAAGGCTCTGCTCCTCTGGGTCTTTGGAGGATGGAAAATATCAGGCCCTTACGGTGGTTGTGGTACGAAACTGTGTGACGGTGCGTTTGTGCTTTTTTATTTATTACCCTTAAACAAGAAAGAAATACCCAAAAGGGGACTTCTCCTGTTGGTCATGGTGAAGAATTACACCCAGGTGACCCACTTGGGTCCATCAGACCATTCCCTTCTCCCAGGCTGGGCACGGTGGAGCCACATTAAATCCATCGGTGAGTGACACAAAGCCCCTTTGGCATGGAGGGTAAAGCAAACTGCTCGTGGAGGTGCTTGGAGCTGTGGAGTCTGTGCCACCAGTTGATTTACCACTGGCACAGCGATGCTGAGCCAGGTCGATAAAGAAGCCAGATTCCAAAAATGGAATTAAATAATTATTCTCACTTTCTTTGACTTCGGGAAGATCCTATTAGAGAAAAGAGCCTGGATTACTGCCCGGCTGACATTTTCCTCTGAGCCTGTCTCCAGATTGGATTTAGCTCTTTTATCTCCTAATCCCCAGAGCTTTTTAATGTAGAAAGTAATGGCATCCAAAGGCAAATTTAATTTTGACAAGTAATCTGACTTCCTTTCCTTTTCTGGAGCCCGGTTTTAATCCTGTTTGCTGTCTGAAGCTGCATTATATGGATGTATTTAAAATCCTTACCACTCTGAAATCTTTCAAAGAGGGAGAAAAATAAGGGAAACTGCAAGCCTGGAAGCAAGGAATAGTTTCTTATCAAACATTTCAAAATGTTTCATTGCTGCTGGTTTTATTAACCCCTGCACTACCCTTCAACTTGGCTCTTGCTGCTTCCTTTCTTTTGCTCCATTTTAAGTGTTAGAATCGTTCAAGGAGTGGGAATTTCAGGTTTTCTCCAGCTCTGCTGTTTGTGTCAGCAGGTTGGGGCTGGACTGTGAGTGCAGAGCTGTGACCCCCTCAGGGTGATGTCCCTCTGCCACCAACACACTCCAGTGTGGGGGATGCTGCCTACCTGCTGTTCGGCATCAACCATTGCAAAAAAAATCCCTAAACCCAAATCACAGGGAAAGGGCAGGGTAATGGAGCTTCAAAGCAACTAATCTCAGCAGAGAAAATAGAAATTTATGTTGTTATTACATTTCTCAGCTCCAGGTCCCAGAGGAACACCAATCCATTGGACTGATCATTGGCTATTTCCGACACGGTGACACCTCACCCTGGGCTGTTGCCCTGATTCATCCCAGCTCAGAGCTCACTGTTTCCTTGAAAATATCAATTGCAAATAGGGCCTTCTCCTCCTGAGAAAATCTGTGCTTATTGACTGGGACTGTTTTCACAAAAAGCCATAAAATGCAGAATGTCCCTGTCACTCTGCAGCGACTCAGCTGATGGTTCATTATTCCAGCACATAAACACCTGACTCCTGCAGAAACCAAATGTGCAGCTCGAGGCACCGATGGCATCTTGCTATTAAACAAATAAAATGTATATCTGTCTCATCCCAGCTTGGTTGGAAAAACCAACTCAGCGAAAGAAGGGATTTTGTATGAATACAGGGATTTGCAGAAATCGGCCTCAAAACAGGGAGAACAACTTGTGAGCAGGGCAGGGATGGAAAGGGATCAGTTTTCCACAGCGAGGTGCCGTGGTCAGAGTGAAAACAAATGAGTGAAAACTAAGTGAAACAAATGAGGGCTTTGCTGCAGGTGTGTTGGTGGTGGAGGATATTGGGGTAAGTCAAGTCATGTCCCACGTGCCAGCACGGTCCATTAGGCTTCAGACCAGGGCCACAGGCTCTCAGCAGAGAACTAGTGTACAACAGCATTAATTACCAAGGGGTGAAGCAGTAAAACCACTTTCCTTTTGTAATTCCTGCCTTTTTTTTCCCTCCTCCTTCCTAAACCACCAATCCATCTTGTTTGGGATCTGTCATGGGAAATTGATGGTGATGCAGAGGATTAGACCAGTCTAGGGATGCAGGAGCACGTTGGTTTGGTTAGGAGCAAGGGAAAAACATTTGGGCAGTATTTTTGGTTTTGCCTTGCCTGGCTCTGAGCTCTCTGAAATAAACAGCACTTTTCTAATCTCTTTTTTTGACTATGGACAACCCCACCTTGGCCATATTCTGCCTGCATTCCCAACTGAACTTGCACTGCATGACCCTGGCGTAAAGTGGATGGTCATCTTGTCTGGAGTTGACTGGAAGAGGATGTTAAAGGACTTCCTGCTTGGAAGGTGATGCCCTGGTGCAGCTGTAACCAGCCAAAACCTGAGAGCCAGCCACCATGTCCATCATGGACCAGAAAGGTAGAGTCTATTGTTACTCTATTGTCTTTTTAGTCCCCCCAGAGAGTGGAGGAAAATGCAGATGCTTCACCCACAATGCAGAGATGCCCTGCCCTGGAGTAGAGAATGCATCAGGAATCACAGCCAGCTGAGCCAAACTGGGAATCAAGGCACTATCTCCCCAGCCCCCTCCACGTACCAACTCCATCCTTGGCTCCTCGAGGAGCAAGCTCTGCTTTTAAAGGCAGGGCAATCAGATCCAGTTGGGCTGTGGATGTTTCCCAGCGGCTGCCTGGTGCATACGGTTCTGCACATTTGTGTTAATGATCGTGATGAGCACTGGAAATGTCTCTGGTCGGGAAATAAAGAGCAGATGAGCCCAAGCACCACATAAGCTTCATTTCTTTCACAAGGCAGATTACTTGGGCATGAAATATCGTCACGCTTTCCCCGTGGATGAGTGATTCTAGACTTGACCTGGTGCAAGCCAGTGTAAATGAACGCATCTCCTCCGTAGCTCTGGTAAATGATCTAAGAGATCCAACGCTGAGAGTAAGGAGAGGAGAGGAAATACCATCCCAGCGTTGCTGGATGAGCTTAATGCATTATTCTCGTTGTGTTTAGCGGGGTGTTTGGGATCTGGGTGGTGAAGGGTGCATCCATCAAAGCCCAGCTGACATGAGGCACTGTGGTGGGTGTGGCGTCACCGGCCAGCTCACGTGCGGAGTGTTGGGATGATTCACCTCAATTTTGAGTCACTTTCGTCACCATTCAGCCCAACCCCCCAGCTTTCAGACACTCGAGGACCAGCTCTGTTTGCCCAAAGCTTTCCGAGTGTGTTTCAGTACAGCAAATGCAGATGTGGAGCCAAACTCTCTCATCTGTGGGATGAGTTCATACCTGGGGGTGTAACGGAGGCTCCTGCTCCGTGTGTGAGAGTTGGATGCTGTGGGAGGGACATGGATGATGGTCATCACATAACTGCAAAAATCAATTCCTTTCTTTTTTTGTGACAGCACTTAAAATATCCAGAGCTAATTTAACAAATAACCCATTTGTTTATTTGTAACAGATGAGGATCATTATGAACTATTTATTTTTTATCTCATCTGCTTTGTCAAAACACAAATCTCCCGGAGGCCATGATATCACAGGCCAGACTGCAGGCAGGAACATCATGGTGATGTTCCCCTTCCCTGGAAGGGTGGGGAGGCCCTGGCACAGGTTGCCCAGAGCAGCTGTGGCTGTCCCATCCCTGGAAGTGTCCAAGGCCAGGTTGGACAGGGCTTGGAGCAACCTGGGATAGTGGAAGGTGTCCCTGCCCGTGGCAGGGGATGGAACTGGATGGTCTCTAAGGCCCCTTCCAACCCAAGCTACTCTATGATTCTATGAATTCAGTAAAGATGACTTAGGAAAATGATAACCACAGTGGCAATGCTGCCTTTTACCATCCTGGTTTGTATTTCCAGGAACAGAACACGGTGAGGACTGATGCTGTATTACGATTTCAACCCATGTGCAACAACTAAAGATTTCAACTGGACAGGTAAAGTGCCAATCAAAGTGAGAATCAAATCTTCTTGATAAAATGGAGAAGAAACACAGACTTTTTACTGGTGACATGACCAGGAGTGAAAAAATGAGCATAACCCCCCCTCCAAATCACTCCCCATCCAGTAACTGTTTAACATTGGTGCACATGGATTAACAATGGGGGCTTGTCTTAGGGCAGAACAGGAGGATTCCTGGTAAGATGTTGCTCTAGCTGTGGTATCTGACACCTCCCAAGCTGTTAAATAGCATGGAGTGTGACCCTGCAGCTGCTGCCCATAAGCTGCCAGCCCTGATTCCTGGGATGGGAAGGGGTTTCTCCAGCCAAGCAGGGATGAAATGGCAAACCCAGGTACCCTTCAGTGCAGGGCTGTTATGGGCAGTGAAAAGGAGAGGACGTTGCCTCTCGGGACAGATGGAGAGGAAAGGGAGACAGCAGGAAAAATATACAATTCCAGCCAAGCAATATGTCCAGTTACCCAATTCCCCCTCTCTTTTCCTTTAATATTAAAATGATAACAGTACATTATGTGGAACGGAGAAACCCCTCTCAGGACTGGGTTTTTATCAAGGTGAGTGACAAACCAAGACACACCACTGCGTGTTTGGGAGCCAGTGACAGACGGCAGAGCCCATTCCCTGCATCCCAGCCCTGCAGGGAATGTTACAGGAAAAGACAAGCAACCTGTCCCTCTCTCCCTTCTTATTTCCTTCTCTTTTTTTCTTTTTTTTTTTTTTTTTTTAATAACTAAAAATATTCCCATCATTCCTATTAGCCTTCTGTAAGTGCCTCTAAAGGCAGAGTGAAGCCGGGCTTTACAAATTTCCCCCGAATCTCCTGGGAGCAGCCAGCCTCTGAAGAAGCAATATTTGGATGGGAAACTTATGTCCTCCAAGCTGGTAAGTCGCAGCACTGACACACATTTTCTTGTAGCTGCAAAGCTCTCTGTATAAAGGGTATAAAGTTCCTTCTGCCTTCTCCTCCCTCTCCCCCCCTCACCCCCGTGTTATTTAACAACTGGCTATGATTTACATGGTTCATTAATGCACTGGTAACACTGACACACGCATTCCCAAATAAGCCAGAAGGTTTATATTTGACCTGGGCCCTCTGTTCACTGCAGATGCCCCAGAGGATTTGAAAAACAGTGATTTGAAGTGATTGCATTGGATAAGGACATTACTCAGTGCAAATACAATTGGATGCAAGCATTTAATTTTTAAAAAACACGGCTATTGCAGTGCCTTTGAGCCAGAGAAAACAACAGTTTAGCTCCCTTCATGGCTTTGGCTTTTTATTCTCCCTGAGGACAGGAAAGGGAAGCGGGACCAGTTTCAAACTGGAGAGGTTTTGTCAGGTGGCATGGATGGGATTGCTCTGAAATCTTTTTTCAGGTCCCACCTGGGGGACTGACACCCCAGGCAGGGTGGCAGCAGAGTTTTGGGGTGTCCCTGGGCTGCTCAGCTCCTCCCCAGGCAGCACAGACAAGCCTGAGCTCCCAGCCTGTTTCCAACAGCAAGAGATCAGGCCCAGGGAGAAACTATAAAGGGAATTATTTGTCCCCCTTGGGCTGGATTTTTATTGCTCCATTTTGGTTATTGGGGACTGAAGGGAAGAAAAGGAGAGGGTTTAAAATGATGATTGCACAATAAATGGCAGCAGCTCTGCTAATGTGCTGAGTGCCTGCAAACAGCTGCTAGTCAAACACCCATAAAGGTTTGCTTTGACGAGGTGTATAACCTTCCTCTTCCTTCAAACAGCTTAACTCCATCGGCTCCTTGCCCTTTCCCAGGCAGGAGAGGGAAAATCAGGGAGCTGGAGCACCAAAAGTGCTGGGACTGCAGGTGGGGATGGAGGGATCTCCAGGGACCGGAGTGATTCCCTGAGCTGCCTCCCTGCCGTGGAGACCATCAGGCTCAGGGATGGGGATGTGGTGAGGAAAAGCCAGTACAAACTACTGGGACAGGAGGTAAGATTGCTGAACACATGAGGGAGCAAAGCAGTGAGAATGTTCCCGAGTTCTCCTGTGCCAAAGATTCCCCAGAGCACACCCTTAGAGGGTTCTGGGAAAAGGCTTCCCCCTGCAAAGTTTATTAAAGAGGCTCCCAAAAGCAGTAGGAGAAGGACAGATCCCTTAGTAACATAAATAGGTCTGGTTCCACCCATCCTGAGGTTTTCTGTGCCTTTTTCACCCCAGATGAGAGATTGAACCACCCCCACCCTCCAAAGCCAGCACACGTTTCTGTTCATCCTATGGCCACTCTCACATTAGTCCTTCCTACACCCCCTAAGACCTCCTATGATCTGCACAGCTCTTCCCATCTGAATGTCTCCCAACTATTTACACACAAAAATAATTATTCTTTCTGGCTCCCCAGGCTGCAGGAACCATCCCTGGCTGATTTGGCAGGCAGGAGAGTTTCCTGGGGAAGCAAGGAGAAGCAGCCTCCTTGCCTCTCTGCCAGCTCCACCCCCAGGAACCCTGGCAGCATCCTAATTGGAAAGGAGGAGAGGGATTTTAAGGATATTTCCTTGGGTTTGTAAAAAAAACAGGGGCTGGAGGAAGAAAGACCCAAGGTAAAAGCTCCAGGTTTAGCTGGCCTTGAGCACCTACAGCTGCTGCCTGGTTTTGTACGAAGGGACCTGCAGTCAGGCCTTGGGATGGCAAAAGGCTTCTCTGATTCAGTGTCTCTACAAGGAACTGAGATGGGAAGAGCAGAGACAGCTGTCCCTGTTTCCCCTTTTGAACCCCCCAAGCTGTCAGCAGTCCTGGGAGGATGCTAACAGGAGGAGAAAGGCAGATCCTGGTGGGTCTCCGTGGGGAGCAAGCCTGGGAAGCACAGGGATTATCCATAGAAGCTTTTGGCTCGGTCTGAAAGGCAGCACTGAAAACATTGCAGAGGGTTAGAGACGCTGAAACACTTCCCAAAGCCCCCCCGTGGACCTATTAATTGCAATATTGGATCTTCCATCTTTTCCAGCAGGTTCCCAGCAGTGGGCACAGGGCCAGCTTGGCTGTGGGTTTGTTTATTTTCCAGCTAATGTAGCAGCAGGATCAGTTCCAGCCAACAAAACTGGGAACGTCAGAAAAGCGCTGTCCAGTTCCCACAGATAATTTGGGACACACACCTGGAAGACAGTCGTTAGCACTGTAATTAATCCAGCACCGCAGCAGGGGAATAGGGACACCTCACAGAAGTGGATCAGGGAAAAACCAACCATCAGAAAAGCAACAGAGGCAGATTTCTCCGTTGATGAAACACAGGCCACTGGCTGGATGGGAAAACTGCAGTTGGACACACGGCAGCACACACAAAAACTCGGCTGTGAACATCCCTGTCCCCGCAGGCCTGGAAGTGGCATCTGAGCGGTGCCCGTTTGGCGTCACTGCAGATGAGTTCAGAGTGTGATTGTCCAAACTGAGCCACCAGCATTTGTTACCCAGCCCATTAAGCTTTAAACAGCACTCCAGCCGTTGCCCCTCACTCGTCCCTGCTGGGCTGGGGTTGTTTAACCCAACACCTGCTGCCCCAGCCCTGCCGTGTGCTCTGCTGGGGAGGGCGGCTCCTCGGAGCAACACAAATCCAGGGGGGGAAAAAAGGCAGGAGCAGGCTGAGAAGAAACAAAACATAGATTAAAAAATTCACGTGTTTTGCCTTTTCCAGGAGCTGGGATGGGATTTCATCAGGTGCCTGACCACCAGGAACCCGTGAGCGCGGGGTTTACAGGTCAGTGTTTGCCTGGCACCGACTCTTCCGTTTCATCTTCTCGCCTCCCTCTCGCTTTTAAATATGCAAAATACATCAGAGGAGTGTTTCAAACCCCTGGCTACAAATAGATCTGAAGGGCCTTTGAGCTTCTGTGAGGCTCCTGCCTTACTCTGACCAAATAAACAACCACAAATGCATGGATGCTGTGCACTCCCTCTGCTGTGACTCCACAACGGATCTGTCGTGAGATCCAGTCCTGCCTCCCAGAACCTCCTTTGTCCTCCCATTCCCAGCATCACCTCGGAATTTTTTTTGTGGGGAGGTTCTTGGGGTTCACAGCAGCACGAGCAGTGGTGTCCCCCTTTTCCTGCTTGTCCAGGATGGGTTCAGCTCCATCCTAAGCAGATGTTTCGGGAAGGAAAGCTCTGGGATGACGAGCAGAGGGAATGTGAGGCTTTGACTTGAAAACACCGAGCGTGAGTCATAATTCTCAAAAAAAAAAAAAAAAAGGGAACAACTAACAAATATGTGCCAGCTGGGTGGTTCAGAAAATCTCTGATTGGCTCTGATTGAAGCATTCAACGGCACTGGGTCTGCTGGAAAATCCTGAATGAAGGAGCTGAGGCCCTGATTTGGCTGAGCACGCCCGACTCTGTGTGATGGGGACTCAGCACCATAGCAGAGCTGGCTGGTGGAAACCATAAAAACAAGTGATCCCTGCTACTCCCCATATTTCATTTTTCTCTGCATTTGACACCTTGACCAACTGTTGTTGGATTACCCCATTGTTATTTTTCTCTCTGCTTTAGGTGCTGGAAAATTGAGGTGTGGGGGGAGTTTGGGCTGTTCCCCGGGGGAGGGGGAGGGAGTCCTAACCCTGTGCTCACCCCTCCTCTGACTGAAATCCCTATTTATTGCACTCTATTTACAACTAGAAACTTTAAAAATGCTAAATGCTTAGAGGATTTCAGTTCAGACTTGATCCCCAGGCAACCTGTGGTGTATAGTTAAATAAGGCTGCTTTATGTATGCTGTACCCTAAATCTAAAGGTCAAGGGTTTGGTGGCCATAAATATTCAAACTGCACAGACTGGGTCTTTTAAACCTCCTTTTAAATATTTATGATGGTGCTTCCATGGCTGCAGGAGAATATTGTAATAGTATTAAGAGGGAAAAAAAATCCTTCTCCATCTAAAAGCTCAGCATGAGCCATTTTCATATATTATGCATCACTAAGTGCTGTTTATGGCCATTTTTGGCAGAGCTCGTACTGGATCACGGCAGAGTTCATGAATCTGGGGCTGTGCAGAGCTCGGGGTGTTGGCTGTGCCATCCATCAGCCTGGGCATTGCCTCCAACGTGGTGGGCACAGCTGATGGGACAGCTGAGGTCCTGCAGCCTGGCACTGCTGGGGGTCCCTGCAAGGGGGACTCTTGTCCCCCCACAGCCCCTTTTCTTCGTGTTGGCCCACGGCACAAAAGCGTTCCTGAAACACTTCGCTCCAAGCTCTGGAGATCCAGGGAGGGAAGGTGCCTCTTAAAGAGGGACCAAGCCCTTGTTTGTGCCAGCTGGAGGGTGGGCACAGCCATGCAGTTATTCTGCTGTTTTATTTTCTCGTGGTGTTTTGCTTGAGAGCACCATCAACCTCAGCTGCAGGAGCACATCTCCTGGTGTTCCCAGGGCCGGGCATTCCAACCACAGCTGTGCCCCTGCTGCCTCCTCAGAGAGCTCTGCTCCTTCTGTGGGAATCAGCTGCAAACAGGAGCGGGGGGGTTGGGTGCAGTCAGCAGGTTGGGTCGGAGCTGTGACCAACACCACCCCCTCAGTGCCAGGACTCGGGATTGCCTGGATGCCACACCATGGATGCTGGAACGGGATCTGACTGTGGAATCACAGGGTGAGCCAGCAGGGAGGTCAGCAAAGCTGAAATCGCTTGCAGACTTTAATCAGCTTCCAATTAAAACTCAGATGGGCTTTTGTCCTCGGGTAGAGCAGCACAATTCAGCCTGACTGATGCCTCTTCCCTGGTGCTTACCACTCTTATCTCTTCAATTTTCAGCAGTGCTTATGGTTTAGGGGAAAGTGCTGTGTCAGCTCTGTTTCCCAGGACTCATGAACCTGTATCATGAACTTAAGCTCCCACATGAAGTCACTTTGTGAGGGAAGCAAGCTGGCTTTTCCCCTATTGCACTGAAACAGGCCCTCGAGCTCTAAAAAAAATAAGAGAACGATGGACAAGCGAAAGGATGTACAACATCCACCAGCATGCACAGAGTGGGATGTCACAGGCTTCATTTCCTCGGGAAATCAGCTTTAAAATTAAGGCTAATCAGAGTTAAAAAACACTGCAGTTACCCTAGACCAAATGATACTATAATGTACTCAGTATATTACATCCTCAATAGCAAAGCAGCATCTGCTACATAAAATGAAATGTGTGTGTCACCATATGTAGGCAGCATAATGTGGACTCAAATTAAATAAAAACATTTCAGGGTATATGGTCCAATATGCAATCTGGGCCCTGGGAAATGCTGAGTTTTACTCTAAAGTCTTAGCAGTTGGCCATAATGCTGAAGCCAAAACAGTGCAAAAGGGGTTTTTTAGCAACATAAGCTGTTATCTGTACTTTCCTCCCTTTGAGCCAATATTAATTCTGGAAATTTGTGAAATTATTTGGTTCATTTTTAATTTTTTCCTTTTTTTTTTTTTTTTGAGGCTTTTTGCATCTTTCCGTGAGTTGAAAAATCTCCGAGAGACCAGAACCCTGAATGTTTGCAAATACTGCTTTCCATCTGAGAGCTGCCCTCCAGAAATACCACGGAAAAAGCCCCAGAAGCCACTCAGCCTGTTATCTGTGTACCACAAATAAAGAGGTAAACACTGCAAAATTACTGGACTCTCACCTTTTCCACTATTTTTCCCACGGAAATCTCTCCCAAGCAAGGGGCTCCTGAAGCACTTTGGTGCTACTTTAAAAGAGATCAGGCTGCTAAACTGCACAGGCAATCTTCCCTGTGTGACTCAGGCTCACTGCAGCTCTGATGTTAGTTTTTATCCTCTTTGACCCCATTTGTTGATAACAAAATGTGGCATAAACTGTGGATTCCCTCCAGGTGTCAGAAACACTGGGAATACGCTGGGTTTGCCTGGCTCGAGTAGCAGAAGAGTTTGCTATGATGAAGGATTGATCATTGTGTGCATTCAAGGTTGCTGGGAATTCAATCTGTTAATGTGGATTTCATTTTCTTTCAAAACAAATATAACAACTGTAAAAATAACTTTAAAGTGCCAGTGAGGAAGGGGATGTTTGCAGAGGAGCTGCTTCACACAGTTCTGCCCTCCTGCACCAGGTTTCCCTCGTGTGGGGTTTTATCTCCTTTGCTCAGGTCCTTGAATTATTTGGATAATGAAAACCCAGGAAAGCCAGTATTCTACTTTGTAGAAGGAGCAAAACAAAATTTCCAACTGTGAGGCTTGGACTGAAGCATCTGATGAGGGGGAAAGGTACGGCTGGACCAGAAAGCAAAGGAAAACACAACGATGCCAATGGAACCGGCTGTGCAACCGCCTGGAAAACCTGGATACACCTGGAAAGGTCCGGGGAGTCACTGGGACAAAAGGAAGAATCCCTACACGCTGTTTGCACCGGGAAAAAGGGAGCTCAAGGTAAATGACAGGGAGAGGAATGTAACAAAGGTGTTTGTGCCTGGGGCACTGCTGCCGACAGCGGACTCTGCCTTGGGGTCGTCCGAGACTTCCTGTGTCAATGGGGAAAGGATTCAGCAGTTCCCAGAGATTGGAGGCGTGGAGCTGGCTGCAGTGCCAGGGCTGGATGCCACCGAGGCTGGATGCCACCAGGGCTGCTGTCTCACACATCCACCCACCGCCCCGTCCCCTCGCCGCTCCCAGCCGTGTGCTGGTTCAGCGCAGCAAACAAAGAGAGGAGCTGCAAACCTAAAATAGAAAACGACCTGGATGGCATTTGTTTTTTTTCTCCTGTCATTAGTTCTGTCTTTTCCAGTTCCCTTCCTGCTCTTTGCCTTCTGCAGCTCCCCATTTCCTCAGCTTTTGTGTTATTCCTTCTCTCCGATGGCAAAGGCTGGTTCTTACCATTCCTGGTGCACGCCACCGGTTTCTGACCGGTTCTCCCTCGGTCTCCCTGAAGCATTAGGGGATGAATCAAAGTCTGGCAGTGTCTGCTCCTCAACCCACTTCTGAGCAGGGAGGTGAAGAGCTGCAAAGAATGAAAGATGTTTGCTTTAAAAAAACCAAAACGCCATGTTTTCAGATCTGTGCGCCCACCTTGCTTTTCATTCCCATCTCCTTTGTCCTTTGGGGGCACCTGGAATTCCCAGTGCCAAGGCAGCAGGTGAAAATGCATGGAAAGGCCTTGTCTGACTCAAAACCAACTGCTCAAGAGACCAGGTCCTTAGAGGAGGTGATGTATCGATGAAATTTGCCTGAAATCAGCTGGAATTGGTCCTAGATTTTTATCAGCACACCAGGGGATGGGTAGATACCAAGGCAGCTTTTCGGTGTTCAAGTGGACATTAACTGTGCAGCCACGTCCTTCCTTCCTACCAAGTCTGTTTGGGACCTGGGGGTGTCATCACCTTTCTGACTTGGCTAATCTGTGACTTTTCCATGATATCCTCATGACCAGAATATCCATGGAGTCTCTCCTGCGGGTGGTGAAGGTGAGGAGGGACAATCCCAGGAGGGGCTGAGCCACCAGAGGCTCTGACTGGAAGATGCTGTGGGCTGAAAAAGGAACAGGGAGACAACTCAGTACGGAGAGCTCTCCAAGGAGCCACGTCCTGTGTTCATCACTGAGCCTGCCTGCATGAAATGGGCTGTTGAGGAGGATCACAGAGGTGTGATTTCTTCTGAGGATAGATTTCCTGCTCCCCCGCTATCAGATGCTGCTAACCCAGCAATGAGAGCTCCCAGAGGGCTCCTTGCAGCGAGTCCTCCTGTCACACACTCTGAAGTCCCACGACAGTGATGCTCATGCCTGGCATCTCTCCCCCTGACATTTTTCTGACAAAGGGATCAATAGTTTGGGTCTGTTTGGAAAATCAATTCAGTGCTGGGCAGCTCTTGAAGGAACACCAGCAAAGTGTCGGACGAGCCAGCGGTCCCAGGAGGGGACAAGATGCATCTGACCTCGCTGATGGTACAAGAGTGATGAACAGGGGAGAGATGAGAGGGCTCTGCACATTCCTGTGGCTCCCAGCAAAGAGGAAGGGGCTGCCTGCCAACCCCTGCCATCCCCTTCTGTCCAACTCTGCCCTAGAGAACAGCGTGATCTGGAAAGCAAAGTACTGGCCTAAACTGCATCTCATAAATCAAGAAGAGAAACCAGGTGTGTTTTTATCTCCTCTCCTGCACCACACAGCAAGAGTTTTGTGGAGGGCAGCTCCCCTGTAATTTCTGGAGGAGCTGGGATGCATCCTTGGGAAAGGCTCTTGGCTCTGATTTAACTGTGCCAAGCGATGGAGAGGGCACCGAGCCTTCAGCTGGGTTGTTTCACAGTCTGATTATCTTTCCCTGAGGAAAAAAAAAACCAGGCCCTATTTCTACTCCAAACTGTGGACTCTTGCTTTGGCTTTTTTTGGCAGCTGAAAGAGCTTTCATGTACAGAAACCTTGCCCTTGACATCCTCCTCTCAGCCCATCCTTGTGCTGGTGAAAGAGCTGGACCATCTTTAGCCCCACTCCATGGGCAGGTTCTCCAGACCCTGAATCCTTTCCAAATTTCTGAAGAGGTATTTTTCAAAGTCTTTGTAAGGCACTGCGGGAATCAGAAGATCTGAGTTGTGTTCCCACTGGGCAATTTTTTTCCTTTTATTTCTCTTGGTTTCTTTGATCTATGCCCTGGGAGCGGAGCTCTGTGGGACAGGGCTCTTTCCCAGAGGAAGGACCATACAGGGCCTCACACTCTGGAGCTCATGTTCAATAACAAGGTTATTGATATTAATTCAGAAATACTTCAAAAGAGGAATAAATTAAAACAAAATGCAGAGCTGCTGTTTTTGCCATTTACCCAAGTGCAAGCCATGACTGTTACCAGGAAGGTCAATGAAACTGGGTGGGTATAAAACCAAAGGAGAGGGAGCAAAGAGATTTCCCTTTGGGAACATGCTGTTGATGTCTTGGAAAAAAGCCATTTCATCTGTGTCAAACAAGGGGGCTTCTCTTCTCTTCTGAGGTCAGAAACACCCAAACCAAGCCACCCTCCATGGTTGCAGCAACTTAAGGTGAAGTTGATCTTGTTTAAACATTTTGTGTGAAAGAAGCTCTCACTGCTGGGCTTCTGCATCTCTCAAGTCTATTTTAAGCCCTGTGAGCTCCAGCTGCACCTGGGCCCTCACATGGAGCATCCTGAGCTGCATCAACCACGTGCTGCCAGGGTTAATCAGAAGCTGCTCAGGTGGTTTTTGAAGGCACTTTAAACAGTGCAACCACAGAGAAATTCAGCCACAGGTAAGTCACTACTCCTCCTCCTTCCTTTGAATTTGGGGATTTTTTTTTTTTTTAATCCCACTGTGAGCCCTGCCAGGGGGAAGGTGATGCCCATGGTAATAAAACACCTTCTGAGGTGCCAGGGGAGGATGTGTTCAAATCCTGTCATACCACTGATGCTTTTGGCCTCGTTGTGCTGCTCTTGGTAAAGTCAAGAGGAGCTTAATGCTTTTTAAAGATCCTCATCTTTTATGGGCTATAAAGCATCGACCTTAAAGGGAGGTGCTGAGGGAAGTATCTCACAGATAGAGCTCTGTGGGATAGTCAGACATGCCAGCTTTCCCACAGCTGCTCCCTGGGCTGCCTTTTCCTAAGCTCACTTTAAACGAATGGGATGATTTCCCTCCTAGAGAAGAGCTGCCTGAAGCTGCTAAAACACTCTTAGGGGCACTGGGACCACCTTCCCTCGGACATTTGCTGATGGAAACACACAGAAAGCTTTTTCCAGTTTGTTCTGAGCTGTTTGTTCCCACTGAGGCTCAGTCAGAGTGCTGCAAATTTCCTGAATTCTGTGCTCCATGATCCCAGGACTTGGAAAGGGCCCTGCATGAGCCCATCCCTACAGAGATCCCACCTCCTGCTCCAGTAACAAGGACTCCAGAATAAAAAAAAATCCTTTTGCAATGAACAACCAAAGGGGAAAATCCTCTAGTGGAGCCTCTGCTAATTGTGGACCTGTGACAAGTGATTCCTATTAAATTATTCAGTAATCCCTAACAGATGATCTGATTACATCTCTCACCTCTGGAACATTGCTGTGTTGCTGCTCATCTGCATCACCAGATACTAAAAGAATTAACAGTATTTATGAGGACCTGGGAAAACTGGTTTGAAAAGCATTCAGGGTGTGTGTGAGAGAGAAATGAGGAGGAAAACAGTCCCCACGGACCCCGGGGAGGGAAATGTGTGAGTGGGCACTGCCTGCAGCCCCCCTGGTGCACCAGCAGGACCTCTGCAGGGGGCTGGGAGGGGATGCAGGTGAGGATGCTCTGCAGAGCAAAAGCATTGTCACGTCCTCCTACTGCCTTGACTTAATTTAGCTCGGAGCCCTCCTGGGGGGCTCGGTTTGGGAGCATCTTTGCCTGTGGGGTGGTGCTTTGGGGCAGGTGAGATCCCTGTGCACCCCACCCTGTTCCCAGGTGCTCCCTGGAGATCGGGGGCGGGGAGGGATGGCACCGAGAAGGGGATCAAGGAGGGGGTTGCCCCCCTGTTCCAGCCCTGCTCCCCGCGGAGTCGCCGCAGCATCACCCCGCGCTGCCGATGCTGCTTTTCCCCCTCTCCCTTTGCCGTGTTTAGTTAAATTTCCCCCGCCTTACTTGATGTCACATCCTGTTCCACAGCCATCCCCTGCTAGTAGCCAGCCCTACCAATTCCTTTCTTTTTTTTTTTTTTTTTTTTTTAAATCCCTGTCCTCTCCCCATCACCCCCCTTTTCAAGGCAAACTTTTGGCAATAGCAGAGATAATCATTGCGTGCTCCGTTGAATTTCCCTTCGCAAATGTCTTTGGAGCAAGGGAGCCATTAGGAAAAAAAAAAAAAAAATTAAATAAATTACCAGAGAG